TTGGAGCAAGACGGGGCCCTGGAGATCCGGGCTCCCTAGGGTCCCGGCGGAGTGCGTGCTCTCCGGGCCTCCCGGACCGAAGGTGGCGGGCGAGTCCTGTCCCGGCTCAGACAAGCTTCCTCGCCACCTTCCGGACAAAGTGTCAAGTACAAGTTCAAGTTCAGGGGCAGGCCCCAGGAGGAAGGGGTGGGGGGGAGCCATCCCCAGCTGCCTTTGTTCTCCGGGATAAGCGCTCCCACGTTCCCCTCCCGGGCGGGGCCCGGCGCAGATACCCCCGCCCCGCCCCGCCGCGCCCCGCTACAACCGCCTCCTCCCGCCCGCTCGGTGCCTGTGGCTGGGTCCCGGCGACCCTGCTCAGGGCCACGGAAGGGTCTGGGGGCTCGGGGCGGGTGGGGGGAGATGCTCAGTCCGAGCCCGTGGGAGCCTCCCCGGCCCCGCAGTCCCAGCAGCAAACTGCGCTTGGTCGGACGGACGCCCGCGCGGAGGTAAGGGACCCTTGGCGGGGTTCGTCTGCACCCACTGTGCCCCGCCCCACGCTGGGCTCGAGCGACCTAGACCAGCAGCGCTGCGCGCTGCAAAACCGTCAGGTTGGGCCTCAGGGGGGCGCGCTGCGGCTCCCCACCTTAGAGGGTGCCAGACTTCAGGGGGATGGGTACTGGGTCGGGGCGCCTGGTGGAGGCTGGGAGAGATCATTGATTGGCCTCTTTCCCAGAGGCGGCTGGTTCACCTTCTTTCTTGCAACCCTCCCTTGGCCTCCACGCCTGCATCTCTCTGACTTCGGCACACCTCAGATTTTAGCAGGGAGGGAGGGTACCGGAGCTAAAGCACAGCTCCTCAGACTCGAGTCCCCTTGGGAAGGAGGACTGAGGTGTGCTTGCCGCTCAGCTAATAGAGGAAATCAGCGGTGTGCTCACTCCACTACCTTCTCCCCCTCTCCGGTGCACCTAATTGAAAGTTTTGTACCAAATGGCGCTTGCTGATGTGGGCTGAAACCCACTGTTAGTGCTGTGATCTTTATTCTGCCGCTAGAACCTCCTTGGGTTCCCGCACGCCTGATTCCTGGACTCTTCCGAGTTAGATGTAACCCTTTCCACCCCGCCCTCTCCTAAAGCGAAAGAACACGGAGGGCTGCGTCAGAGCTGCCTTTCACACTCCTCTTCTGGATTGGACACCGTTTTGGTGACACTGCGTTACATACTGTTCCAACATCCATGACAGTTGGTTTCTAAATTCGCAGTAAGTTAGAAGTGAAAAGTCAGAAATGCGTGTTCCCCGCTGCACCCGCTCTGCTGCTCCCCTTGGGAGCCTTCTCCCTGATGTCTCCTTTATGGGACGCTGCCTGACCAAACTTTGACAAGTTCCTCCTTGCTGCCCAGGATGCTTGCTCAGACTTTCGTCACCTTCCCTCTCTCTCTTGACATCTCCAGCTGTACTGTCGATATTTATCAATAAGGGAAACGGTTTGTTGATAAATGGATTTTTTAAAAAGATACAGCATCAAGTTAAAAAAGCTTTGAGGTTTGCATTCGCTTTGCTTTTTAATATTTTCTTCCATGTAAGGAAGCTCTCAGGTGCTTCATTCTTCTGTTCCATAACTTTAAGGGTCTCCTACGCAAGCTGGGACCATAAAAAGAAATAATGAAACGGCCTCTCCATGTGTTCTATTAAAAAGAAAGGGAAAACATCCAGTGGGGGAAAATGTTTTAGAGTGTTTTGTGAAAGAAGTAGCAGGAGGGAGCCCCTTCAACGCCATCCAGCCTTTCACTCCATCTGACCAAGTATGGGGTGGCCTGGAAGAGCTAGGGACATGGGACCTCTGGCAAAGCCTTAGTGTGCTGTGGAGAAGCTGGCTGAAAGTGGAGGGCAACTTACCTAGAATCGTTCGGCTCTATGAGATCTGTCACCGAAATACTGTGTGTTGGTTTTATATTTTGTTTTTGTTT